GCACTATTACTATCGAAAATTCTAGAAAAAAATCAGGATATAAGATATTTGGGTAGTATCGAAACTATTCTTCATTGTATCAATATCATTTAAGCGGTATTGATACCATAGACAATATTATCAATGCTCTAACGTTTCTTAGAAAATTTTAGAATTATAGAATACAAATTTGATATCGGTACTAGCTACAGTATCGATACTCGAGTAAGCGCAATACCAATACTTTATTTATATAGTATCAATGTTATAAAACAAATCAAAACTTTTAAGAATTCTAGAATGTGAATTCGGTATTAGTACTAGCCACAATATCGATATTTGGGTAAATATAATACCTATACTTCATCACCAATACCGATACTACTTGGCTGGAATAAAATATGAAATTTATGGGTTTAAAAATAGGTAAGTAACAACTACTTTTGGTGGGGGTATCGGAAGGGACGTGGAAAATAAAAAATGGTAAGTAAAAACTGAATACTACTGTCATTCCAAGTATCTCGCACGAGAGCATCTAATCATATTTAATTTTGGGTGACTCACTTGAGAACCATGAAAGATTAAAGTAACTCGCACGGGAGCACTTGATCACTTTAATTACGAAGTGACTCGCACTAGAATCCTAAAAAAGTTCCAAATGACTCGCACAGAAGCACTTGCATGTTTCCAACCATGTGTTAAAAATCATACCACAACATTCTATAAATTGAAGGTTATACGCGACTGAGTTATATATATATACTCTAATAATTATAGTCAATGCACTTTTCCCTTGCATTACATATTTTTATGATATATGAATCTCTTGGAATAATTGTACATTACTTGACACTAATAGCTCACCCTTTAAATTGTTTACCATTGCAGGATCATACGAGTAAATTGTTCTTCAAAGGAGCACAGTCATCGCGGAATCCCAATCTCGCATTCCAGAGTACTATACTGTATTCTTATAGGTATCCATGTAGACTTTATGGAGTGGATCTTTAAACTACATTTTGTTGTAAAATGTTTTGGAACATTGCTTTTTTTTTCTTTTTTTTTTGTTGAATATTTGAAGGAAATGGAACTCCACTTTTGAATATGAATTTTTTATTAGTTGTGTGTAATTATTGTTTTATCCTTAAGAAAAATCATTGAGTCTAGAAGAAAGAGTTGTAATACCCCAAATTTTGGCTAGTGACTAAAATGTAAGTTTTAAAAGTTTGGTGGCTAAAGTATAAACTTGTGAGAGTTTAAGGACTATAAATGTAATTTTGAAAAGTTATATTTTTAGCCCTAAATGAACAATTTGGCTTAATTCGTAGGGAATCAGATTTTTGGTACAAGATTTGTGTTAAAAATTATAAAGCGATAAAATTCGATAGTAAAATCGGATAATCGAATCAAACCGGAATTTTACAAAATTTGTAGGATGTTAGAAAATGGTTGGAAATATTATTCACATACTTTAGATAAGAGAAATTTAACTCATATCAGTGTAATTTTTCATATTTGTTCGAACAGTGAAATTTTAGAGATTAAAATGAAATTTTTGAAAATTGCATGGCCAAAGTGAAAAGTCAAAGCCAAGTTGATTTATCTTTGACCGAGGAATATTTTTAATGGAGAATAAGGTAACGACATTTGGTAATTATCAAGGTTCATTAATGATAAAAATAAAATTTCTTAAGAATTGAATTTTAAATTAAATTAAATTTGTTTAGTGTCAAGTGTATATCAATTATTAAATAATAGAATAATCAAGATAATCAACTTATTTTCAGCCATTTTCTTTCATTTAGCCGAAACCACCAAGCTCACCAAGACCACGGTAAATCTAGTGATTCGAGTAGCTCGAAAGGGAAAGAAAAATTTTGAGATTGATAAGGTTCGATAGCAAGACAAATGTTAGTGCATTTAATTTGTATTTATGTTATCGAACAAACATTGGCTTGCGATGATCCAATGTCGGAATTACTATGATAAAAAAGGATCCCTAATGTTATATGAATTGTTATTCTAGCCTATATATTAATTTATTAAGCTTATAGAATTAGGGAAAAAAATTAAGGATGCAAATTAAGGAAAGTTGTCTAGAAATTCATGATTCGAGCAGTAAGTTTAAGGATTCATCGTAAATTATATAGAAATGATTAGAGAATGAATTTTATATCGTTTGATTCGTATATCGGTCTAGTTTTGTCTAAAATAAACGGCTACTAATTTCGAAGTGTATACAAAAAGACATGAATTTTGAATCAAGAATAGGCCAGAAAATAGGACAGTATATTCTGCTCAAAATAGCTTCGTTAGCCAACGTTGAAAACTCGGTATAAATTGTACAAGTTGAAACAAAAATTAGAACTCCGAATTAAATAAGGTTTAAATCAAAATAAATCAAAACATTAATGAAATTTATAGACTACAATACTACTAAGGTCCTATGAATAGAATAGCATTTTACTAATATGCGAACAAAACATATGTACAAACTCGATAATACACTTCTACACTACTATACTTCATGTATTCCATAAACATAAACATACAACTTAATGCATAAGTAGAGAGATATAAGCATAGGCGTGTCATTTTTACTTACCAATGTTCATTAGTATAATACACAAGAGTGTCATCGATAATGCTTCTTATCCTTTACTCCATGATTTATTCATTTGATCATATCATCATTTTTACTTCATTTATCATAAAGCTTATACATGCACTTACAACAATAACTGTAAATTATTTAGAGTTATCATTGTATATCAAGTAATAAAAATAACCACAATAGTAATAGTATATCTAGAATTGATGTGCGGTATTACATACTATATATCGTGGTGCATGAAAACACTACGCGTTAGATAGTATAAATAAATATAATAATAAGATAGGATAAAATGACTACGCATTAATAGGCATTACAAATAACAATGCTATGACACTTGGAATCATTACACATCAAATAACATAAATGAATAATAGATAAAACTACACATTAAATATCACGAACCTCGACTATACAAATAATCCAACACATACAATCATACCATAAATAGATTTCCATAAACCATTCATGATCACATTATCATATTAAAGACTGATCATCATAATAAATACCCCGTATTTACAACGATAACAATAAATAACCTATAGAAATATATAAATGAGCTCACTTTTTTAATTTTATAATTTAATGTATTAACTAACACATCTAAGGTGATTCGACATTAATTATTAATGTTTAATATAAATAATATATAACACAAATAATGTTGAATTTAACAACGCTTTCTTCTTTTTCTTGTTCACACGTACTAAAAGCACCAAATTAGCTACTTCGAACGAATGAATATACATCGTCATACTAACTAAGAATTATTCAATTATCACTTTAAATTAAAGAAATTTATTTTATACATTTCTAATAGAATATTTACTCTCCACAAATATAGTCCAGAGTGACGCATATATATCCAAGGTATACTAATTTTTCTTTTTTAAATAAGTGGCATTTGTGACAGTGTTTGTAGCTTGCTTATGGAAAATGCTAATCCTTGAAATAAATAATATTTAATATATTAATTTTATAATGATTATTATTTGATATATTAAACATAAATTAAAGTTATTTGTGAAAAAAACTTCTAATGTTAATATATACCAAATAATAAATTTTATATCAAAGTAATATATATATTCATTTTATTATTAACCTTTATGATGAATAAAGAAACCAAAGGATAATATTTAGCTTGATCGTAGGGTTTTTAATCCTAGTTTTCTGTTCTTCTTCTTACGGCACCAATCTTAATTGGTCGTTGATCAACAGTATTCATTGTTTTTTTAATTTTAATTTTTTAATAACTCTGTTTTTATGACAAGTTTTCTTCTTCCTTTTGGTACGTTCTCGTTTGTTTGACAGTTATTTCCGTTTATTTTTTTATCAAGGCTGAATTTAGCATCATCACGACTGATCAAGATAGCACTAATTTATTATTATACTGATCTTTCCTGCTTTGAACCCTTGAATTGGATTTGGATACGCGATTTACATTTGTGGATAGTTTTCTCATGTCGCTATATTATGATTTGCGATTTGTCAGTGGTCTTTCAATTACTTGATCATTTTTTCTGGTTTATTTGTCGATACAGTTAGATCTTATAATATCTTCATTTTATTTGAGTTTATTTGGTTAAGTTTTTAACCTTTTCCTTATATGATTATTATGTAATCTTAAGTGGCTAGTTTATTCTGTTAATGATTATAGTAAAATTTTGTTATTATATGTTTTACTTTATAATTGTGGTTGTAATCTTTCACAGTAATTTAGATATTTTTCTATTTTTCGTAAAACTAACTACTTATATCTTGTAAAAAAGGAAAAACAAAGGATAATGAAAAACTTTTTAATGTTAGATTGTAGGTATACATTTAGGTGAAATTATTTTTTGTATATTTTTCATTTCAAAATTTTACATATTTACAATTCAATGTAGATAAAAACATTTTCATTAAATTAATAATATTTTGCCTGGTTTTGGGTCCAAAAAAATTGTTGTAAAAGTTTGTAAATTTGTAATAAACGTACTAATTATCCATTTAATAAGTGGTCTTCCATTTATGATATTTTAAACGTATGGAAATTCCAATTTTTTTAATAATTTAGGGGATTGTAAGATAATATATGTTTATAATATTTATTAATTATTTATTATATATATATATCTTACAGACGTAATTATTCGAATTAAAAATCTTAAGGGAGAACAATCTTTTAACTATTAATACCATCAAATAAATTTAAATTAGAGTTTAAACTTGTGAAAGGACATAGTCAAATATGAGTTGTTTTAGCTATATTTTCTCTCGTTTCATTGATAATAGACCTTACATCTCTCAAAGCCAACTATTTGTGTATGAAAATGTGTGATTTCAGTGGCTAAAATTAGGCATTTCTCCCTCAATATAATCCCCATCCTACGGTTCCCTCTTCATTGCATTGCGCAGACCAAGGTGGTCACTAATGGATACTCGTCAACCTCTTCCGGCCTTGGCCTGCTTCCTTTTGTTCTCTTGTTTCTTGTATAAAGCAGCACCTACCTCCGCATTATCCGACAGCGAAGCTGATTATATCGCCCGTCGTCAGCTCTTAACTCTCCCTGAAAACGGTGATCTCCCCGAGGGGTACGAAAATACAGTCAAAACAACTGAAACTTTCGAAAACGAAAGGCTTAGGAGGGCTTTCATCGCTCTTCAAGCCTGGAAAAAGACTATCTACTCCGACCCTTTGAACATCACCAGGAACTGGTTTGGTCCCAACGTGTGTAGCTACAGAGGCGTGTTTTGTGCACCAGCATTGGGTATACCCAAATGGACCGTCGTCGCCGGTATCGACCTCAACCATGCCAACATCGTTGGTTACATTCCAGTCGAGTTCGGATTGTTGACTGACCTTGCATTGCTCCATCTAAATTCAAACAGGTTTTGCGGTATCATCCCTAAGAGCTTATCAAAGCTTACACGTATGTATGAATTCGATATCAGCAATAACCGGTTCAGTGGCCCTTTCCCTAGAGTTGTAACGACATGGAAGAGCATCAGGTACATTGATTTACGATTCAATAATTTTGAAGGTTGTTTACCACCGGAGATCTTCGAGAAAGACCTTGATGCATTGTTTTTAAACGATAACCAATTCACTTGCACCATCCCTGAAACAATCGGCAAATCGACAGTCTCGGCTATGACATTCGCAAACAATAAGTTCAAAGGGTGTCTCCCACGTAGCATTGGAGAAATGTGGAGATTGAATGAACTTATTTTCACCAACAATGACCTCGGTTGTTGTTTCCCATCGGAAATCGGATTGCTTGGTAATGTCACGGTTGTTGACATTAGCTTCAACTCATTCACCGGTAGTTTGCCACAGAGTTTATCGAGCTTGAAGAAGGTTGACATTTTGGATGTTTCGCACAATAAGTTGACGGGGACTGTGCTAGAAAATGTGTGCAAGTTGCCAACCTTGTCTAATTTCACGTTTTCTCATAACTATTTCAGCGAGGAGTCTAAAGCTTGTGTATCGCCCGGAAGGGACGACGTTGTGCTGGATGATACCGGTAATTGTTTGGCTGGCCGGATTAAGCAGAAGCTGGCTAAGGAATGCCAACCGGTGGTGAGTAAACCGGTTGATTGTAACAAGGACCAGTATGTTGTACTGTCTTCATCTTCTAAGCCTAACTCACGAATGCCTAAACCAAAATCACTGGTTCAAGTTCATCCAACGCCTAAGCCATAACCAGAACCAGAATATCCCTCACATATCATTTCCGATGGCTGTTATTAGACATCCGGCACCGGCACCGAATCCAACCTATCGATACCCGGTAAATCGTATTAGACGACCAGCACATATGGTTCCTTCACTTCCGGCCGCCCTTCTCACATTTAATAAAAAGGGCCAACACTTCTCTCTGTCCCTCCAGACTACGCCCCTGATACGGTGACAATTCTTAGACCCATTTGCAGGTTTCATTTAAAAAATGAATCTGGTGAAGTTCACGTACGAAAATGTTACTAATAAATCAAATTAAACGAAACAAAACAGTGATGTAAACTAAGAGATTGTAGATATACTATTTTGCAACAATTCTTACTATTTAAATTTCAGACAATATATACTATTTTGCAACTAAATTAAGACTGATTGAGTAGCAACTTACAAACAATTAAAAAGACCATGGAACCTTTAAAATATAATTAAAAACTTCTAACATTTTTAAAAGAACTCAATTAAATTTTTTAAAGATTAAACAAATATATATATATATATATATATATGTAATCTTGGACTCTGACCTCATTATGCTCTGTCCTGTTTATAGCGATCTTAGTCAGTATGAAATTAAATTAATGTGTGTGTATATATAATATCTCCCATCAAAAGGTTTGAAGACAGCAAATTGTTCAAATATGTATGTCTTATTTCCGGTTTCGTAATCGTATTTTGTTCTTTTGTTTCTGTTTTTTCACATTTCGTATTTAATTATCCTATCAGACCTACGCAAGCACAAACGCCACTGCCACTCACTGGTCTCTTAATCTTTCTTCAAAAGCAGTCCAGGTTCAATCTACGTTAAAACTCATATAAACCATCCTTCTTACCACTCCACTTGCCATTTTCAACCACTCTTTTATTACAAAACAAAAGCAAAGACAATGGGCGAAGTTGATCCGGCTTTCATCCAGGACCTCGAACACAGGCCAGAACTCGCCACCATCGAAGCTGAAGGAATACCCTTGATTGATCTTTCGGCGTTGAACTCAGCTGATGCGGTTTCGGACACTAGTCTGATTTCGGACATAGGTGACGCTTGTAAGAAATGGGGTTTTTTCCAAGTGATCAACCACGGGGTGCCATTGGAGAAACGTGAGAAGCTTGAGAAGGCAGCCAGGGAATTTTTTGACCGACCTTTGGAGGAGAAGGTGAAGATCAGGAGAGATGAAGTTAGGGTTTTAGGGTATTATGACACCGAGCATACCAAGAACGTTAGAGATTGGAAAGAGGTGTTTGATTTTACAGTGCAGAATCCAACCATAGTTCCAGCTTCAACACGCCCTGATGACAAACAAGTAGCACAGTGGCATAATCAATGGCCTGAATTTCCTCCTCAACTAAGGTAATTATTATTAGGGTAAAGTGCACCAAATATCACTAAATTTTATCACATGATTCGAATACATATTTTATACAACTTTTGACATAATTTTCGACAGAGAGGCGTGCGAAGAATATGCAGGGGAAGTGGACAAATTATGTTTCAAGTTGATGGAACTTATTGCCTTGAGCTTAGGCTTACCGGCAGATTCTTTTAATGGTTTCTTCAAAGATCAAACCAGCTTCGTTAGGCTTAACCACTATCCACCTTGCCCTGCTCCGGAACTAGCTCTTGGCGTTGGCCGGCACAAGGATGCCGGTGCCTTAACCGTCCTCGCTCAAGATGATGTTGGAGGATTGGAAGTGAAGCGGAAATCAGACGGAGAGTGGATCCGAGTTAAGCCTACTCCAAATGCATTTATCATTAATGTTGGTGACATGATTCAGGTAACTCAAATAAACTAAAAATAACGAATGCTAAGCTCGATCTGAATCTGACTCGATCCATGTGAAAATTGATAAGAGTTTTGCATATAAACAGGTTTGGAGCAATGAGAGATATGAGAGTGTGGAGCATAGGGTGATGGTGAATTCGGAAAAGGAAAGGTTTTCGATTCCCTTCTTCTTCAACCCGGCTCATTACACCATGATTAAGCCCTTGGAAGAGATAACAAGTGAAGAAAATCCAGCCAGATACAGGCCTTACAACTGGGGAAAGTTTTTTGTAACAAGGAAAGGAAGTAATTTCAAGAAGCTTGATGTCGAAAACATCCAAATCTACCATTTCAGGGTTCAGAATCCGAGTTAGCCAACTGTTTAGAAACAATAGTAGCTGTGGCATAAACAAGATGCAGTATATTAGCTATGTAAAAATGTAGTAGCTGTGGCATAAACAAGATGCAGTTTATTAGCTTTGTAATTGCATGTAATTTAATAACTATATTTATATTGTTAAGTATTAGACTTCGAAAACATATGAATTGGTTAATTATATTATAATATCTTAATCGATTAATAAATTAAATATTAATAATTATATAAAAAACTGACAAATCATCCGCCAAACGAAGAGAATGTGATTATTTATTCACAAAGAGACTAAAAGTAATAAAAATATAATTGTCGGCCAAAATCCAATCGACCATCACAAAAGCAAAGAGTTGAGGGTGGTTCGGCACAGGAAGGAAGGACGATTGAAGTGATGAGTTGGATTTTATGTATGCCTTTCTTCTATTAGGGGACCAAAATATTATTAGGTGTATAAAACAAGAACTGTTATGATATATTTTTAATTTTACATCAATGCAAATTTTCATATTACGATACATATATCAAACGACTTTGTATAAACTCAGTTAGTTAGGCAGTTTGGTTAGCATAAGTTGTTATCTTAGTTATTGTAGTGGTATCTGTTACATATACTTCATATTCTTGTATCGTTAACATCAATGTAAAATCAGTATTTTTTCCATCTTCTTCATCTTGTTTTCCTGCTGTTATATGGTATCAGGAGTTTTTTCTTTTCACGCTTCATCATGCCTGATTCATTGAGTGATAGTTTTGACAATGGTAGCAATCCGTATTACTTGCATCAGTCAGACAATCCGGGCATGTTTCTGGTTAGACAACCGTTATCCAATGACAATTTTCATAGTATGTATTGTTTCTGGTTTCGTATTCGTATTTTGTTCTTTTGTCGATATTTTTTCACATTTCGATTTCACTTATCCTATCCAAGTTCAATCTACGTTAAACCCCATATAAACCACTCTTCTTAGCCGTCCAATTCTCCGAGACAAAACCAAATCAATTACCATTTTCAGCTACTCAATGCAAAGACAATGGGCGAAGTTGATCCAGCATTCATCCAAGACCTCGAACACAGGCCAAAACTGGCCACTATCGAAGCTGAAGGAATACCCTTGATTCAGTTGATTGATCTTTCGGTGTTGAACTCAGCTGATGCGGTTTCGGACACTAGTCTGGTTTCCGACATAGGCGACTCTTGCAAGAAATGGTTTCCGAGTTGGCCAACCGCTTAGAAAAAGTAGTAGCTGTAGCATAGACAAGATGCAGTATATTAGCTATTTATTTGCAAGTATTTTAATAATTATAGTTGGATTGCTGAGTATAACACTTTGAAATCATATGGGTTGGTTAATATGTTTGTTATTATCTATCAGGTGACTATAGTTGTAACACTCCAACCCGTACCCGACTCGAATACGAGTCCGAGGTGTCACTTTGACTTTTCAAAATTTGACTTTTCAAAATTTGACTTTTAAAGAAAAACCCCGGGAATTTAAAACTTTGTTTAAAACAAAATACGTTAATTTACATAAAAGAGACCACAAAATACAAACTCGATCAAAGTGCTCATAATTAACGACTTATTACATGCCAACATTCTATACACAACAAAATACTTACTTTGTCGATTACTTCTGATCTGATCTTCTAGTAATAATATTGTCATTGCTACTTCTATTCTTGCTCCTCTCGTTTCTTGGTACCTACGTGTAAATCACTTACACGTTAAGTCATAGACTTAGTGAGGCAATAAATAAACATGTAACAGTAGATTCATGAATATGCATTCTTACCATTTGATCATGATATTTCAATATGCATGTATATATTTCATATGACATATATAACCAAGTCATGCACACATGAAACTTACCTTTTTGCATCACTTTCACTTTAGTTTATATTTCAATTGCCCATGTATATTGTTGTTGAGAACAAAGGTATGTGAGTACATTGAGGTTGTGCACTAATGCTGTCACCACAACTCGTATAAATTCCCTCATGGGCACCGAACATTTGTTCAGTATTCGTCCCGAAGGATTGCTATATATGTCCCGTAGGACCACTACGTCCCGAAGGACTACTTCCCGAAGAACTACAGTACCCTCGACTCTTGGCATGCCAACTATACCTATAGCTCTCGTATCATATACTATGGGCATTTACGATGAATACATTTCTCATCACTTGTTCTTTCTTTTCTGTCACATACCACATGTATGTTTAACCATGTATTTCATATCATATTACATAGCTTATCTCATTTCACATTGGTCATGTCTCATAGCATATATCACATATGCATATAATCATGTATATCATATCATATATCTTATGCTTTATGCTCTTATGTCTATGCATATCATATAACATATATAATAACATATACCCATTTCATGTATTTATGCACATATAAGCATCACAAATCAAATAACATTTTAGGAGTCACTTCTTACCATAGTAATTCCATCACTAGCTCATCGCAAGCCAATGTTCGTTCAATAATATAAGTACAATTAAAATTGCACTCACCTTAGCCTTATTTGCTTTGATTCGATCCTAATCCTTTGATTATTCCAGAACTTGTTTAGACTCAATATCTACATAAATATAACATTTCAAAACAACTATCAGAAGCCTAAACCTTAAACTTGATGTTAACAACTTAAACCAAATTCCATTTTTCATTTATGGGGGAATCGATACCCCCTGAACATACTGGAATTTTTCGTTCAAGAGAGAGGGGAATCGATACCCATTCATAGGGTATCGGTTCCCTCTACCCAGAAATTATATTTTAAGCCCGAAAATCATCAATTCTTCATTCAATT